GTATTATTTATATATATATATATATATATATATATATATATATATTAATACGATACTTTAACAGCAGGACAAAAATCTTCATCGCACATATTGGTAAAGAAATTTTAATAGAAATTTTAAAAAATTGTCAAGCAGTGAAACTCAACAATACAGAATTTGTCGGTTTTCTTAAATATGATAAACGCGAATAATTCTGACGTAAGATGAACTTTCTGCATCAGGGGGAAAAGATAGGAAAAAGATACCAACACGGGAGCGTGTACTAAAGGATGTCTCAAATGACGATGGTCAAACGTAATCCCTTGGAATGGTTAGAATCGCGGCATTAAGCGAAATTCTCGTGGTTCGGAGCTGCATGTCGAGACTTCTGGCTAGTCGTTCGGCTTCGGGGACGTCGGGTATGAGAATAGAACGGTGGCTGGATGTTGAATAGGCGCCGTTACAGAAGGTAATGCGTGTACAGCGCGGACTCCGAGAAGGTGGCGGAGGCGGAGGAAAGACACCGAGAGAAGAATCGAGACGGCGGAGCCAAGGTGTTAACATTTGCTTTATAGCGGCCGCTCTACAGCCGGGCGATGGTTTAATACTTGTGTCGTACGAGCGGCACACAAACACCACCACCATCATCATGGAGCGACCGCAGAGCCGCCTCACCTGGCGCGCGTGTAAAAGAGACAGAGTATATCCGTAATCCATATATCGTAATGCGAGCCCGTTAAACACCGAAATGATCCATGCTTTAGAAGCCATGCATTATTGGTTTCCTATTGGCAACGAGTTTGTGCACGCATTGAAAAAATGAAATTACTCTTACCTAACAAATTGTTGAATTGGTGGGAAGAGCAGATCTGCGAATTCGTACTATTCGTTTCATCATCGGTATATATATCAAAAACAATAAGCAACATAATGAATTTATTATTTAGAAAAATTAAATTATTTTTTAGAATAAAATTTTCTTAGCAAAAATGTAACATACAATAGAAAAGAAAATGTATTTTTGTTTTTTTAAATGTCATATATTTTTCTACAAATAATGGAGTAACAAAATATTAAAGCTTATCGACTCACTGTATATTTAATTTTATGATACGTCGTGTGTTAATGCGCGTATAGACACCTCGCTCCCATATGTCGACATCGTAGAAATATACGATGTGTACCACCGCTATATAATGGAGGCCCGTTAAATAGCGAAATGACCGGCGGGTTCATACATTGCTATGAGATGTTAATACGACAACCGTTGTCGGGCCAACGAGCACGTGTCTCTTCCTTCTAACTCATTTGCTTTCTCTCTTTCTTCCTTTTCAACTCGCGTCGCCGCGCAACTTGTCTCGCTTCTTTTCTCTCGCGTTTTCGATCCGCTCTGCCTGGTCTCCTCCGCGTTGAGCCACGCTCCTTTATTTTATAGTTATGCAGCGAGGACACTTTTACTATGACCGCGCGAACATTTCGTGGTTCCGGCGCTCGCGATGAGCGCTTTTATTGCCCGAGGGCGTTTTTACCCCCGAATACGCTATCCTTTATTTATTACGGAGCGATCATGTTGCGGAAAAAATAGTGCAAAAATAGTGTCGAATGAAGAATAATTTCGAAATCAAAGCTAGCAATATTTCAGAGGATAAATTTATCTTGATCAATTTAAATCGATTTAATTCAAAACAGATCTTGAAAAGAAGATTACTTTCAAAACAGATCTTGAAAAGAAGATTACTTTGCTTTGCTTAAAACTACTGTACGCTACTTGTACATTCATCATTTTCGTCATTTTCATTAAACGTTTAAGCTCGAAACACGATCATTCATCGTTAATTACAAATGGAAATAAGCTCTTTTTCTTTTGCGAATATGGTACGTACTTTTTACAACATAATCATCATACTCATACTGCTGTCCAATTTGTGGAATATGACATAGTATGGAAGATAGATGAAAGATTCTTCACACACACACACACACACACACACACACACACACACACACACACACACACACACACACACACACACACACAACGCGCGCGCGCGCGCGCGC